CCCAAGCCTAGACAGGGGAAGTCGAGGGGCAGAGGTTGGGTTCGAACCACGGATCTTCCGGTCAGTAAATTCGCGTTCCAACCATTTGGGCCGTCTCGCCCACCAAACAGATCTGGCCACCATTTTAGTTGTTATAATGGTACAAACAACCCTTGCGTATTGATAACAGTGTGCTTATCAGAAAGATCCATGAGATGTTTCCCACCTACACATGCATTTCGGGACTTTACGCATGGGTATAAATTGTGCACGACACTATTTTCCAACTTGGGTAAAATTCCGTCCAAGTAACATCTCACTCACTCGTATTGCAAATAATTGTGAGACTGGGATATTTCATTACCTCATTGAGAGACCTTCCTGTCTGTTAGAAGAACCGACCCTGTTTATGGGGCAACCCCACATTGGTGATGAAACGTTTGCAATCCAGTTGCCCAGCTCAGCGAACAAGCCAACGACCATCTACCCTACCTGAGCTACCAACACTTTCCCCCATAGATTGAATCAAATAATTTTACGAGCCAAAAATTCCGTCTGCTGGAACCTAATAAAGAATGCACAATACTCATTGGCGAACCATCATAAACGAGAGGTTCAGCTGGATTCAGTTGAGTCTCCTGTCAAAACCAAGTTCGTGCGCAAATGAGAGTATCTGTCGAAAGGTGGTCCAATTCTAAAACCAAGCAAATCGTACCGATTCTGGACAGATAAGCTCCCAATTCAGTTACTCTTCTTGTTTCAGAAATGTTCAACAGCATCACACGGCGCTGCCCACACTTGACGTCAAATGGGAATTGCATTAATTTCGCTAGGTTGGACACCCTGTTACCTCTAACTTGATGTAACAACCTGTCGGTGCTTAGCTGTCATGCCACCCGAAGGAAGCATGAGGGCCGGGGTACTGGCAGGTTGCCTAAGCCTAGGTAGAGGTCGAGACGCAAGGGCTCGGTTCGAACCTCTAACTTGGAGTGCCTGAAGTCACTGTCCGCGAGTACCACTCTTCATGCATAAGGCGAGCACTCGCGTCTGCTGCGCGCTTCGTTATGAGGCTCATTCAAGCTTCAAGATATCTGATAAATGTTTTAGCGGCGAATGTGGGCCGTAAACAGAAAAACCAGTTGCGTTCACAGCTATCGCCTCAGCGGGTGAGGCCTCCAAAACAGCGTGATCAGCGGACAGGAGGATGAATGTCAAACACGTTCGTTCCATTTGGTTTTCAAGGTTCCCAGCTACCGTCCTCGATAAAAAAAGAACGTGACTATCAGTATTGCGTGGTGAACATTATGGCACCGCTTACGTTCAGAACAAAATTATAGGATTGACAGATACAAACGATAACCAAGAGGTATATGGTTAATGGGGGATCGTTCCTCACGTCTCCACTGGAATCACGAGAGTAAGTTCTACTATATGGATATCCCTTGATAGTGAGCGTCCGAGAATTCGCCTATGTCTGTTTAGTTCGCAGGTACTGTTGGAAAATCTTCGGGGTCGAAAATTGGCACAAGCGATTACAGATCATAGTGCATTTCAGTTGCGTCTAGTTATTCCTGACCTCCTGATGAACGCACATCGGATCAACGTATCTTGATGAACTGCTATAGAAGCTCCTGCTTCGTATGTTACACGCGTCGATTAGAGTGCCTCTTGCGGAGCGGAAAAACGTTACAAACCTCTGGTTGTTTGCATTAAAACGGATGGGGGCGAGATGGCCTAAGTGGTTAGAGCGCGAATTTACTGACCGGAAGGTCCGTGGTTCGAACCCGACCTCCGCCACTCGACTTCCCCGGTCTAGGCTTGGGCAACCTGGCAGTATCCCAGCCCTCGTGCTTCCTTCGGGTGGCATGGCAGCTAGACACAGGAAGGGTGCTACAGCTGAACGCTATTAAAACGGATAGTGTTTCTGAAGAAGCGTTTCCAAGAGAACGGTCTGGTTACTCAGGTTCACGGAATGCTTCTGCATTGGTCATAAAACGGTGAAAACGACAGCTCTTAACCACTTGCACACGAAGACGTTTGCTAAGCAGACATTTGTCAACTTTTCTCTGTCAGAAACCCTTTCAATGAAGGACGGTTAACGTCATTGTTACGGCTCAAGCGTGCAATTCCGATTAGCACTTCTGAAGTGCAACCGATGGAGAGAGGTAGCACCCAGTCTATTAAAAGTAATGTTTGATTCAGAAAACACTGATATGGCGTTCTAGGAAGGGCTGCTCCGAAAAGTATTACTTTCCTTAAGAGCACGCACAGCAGCTAAATAAGATATTGATCACGAGCCACTCTCTTGTGCCATAGAACATGGGTTATCAGCAGATTTCCCCAGTCGGTTCGTGTGTGCCGCCTGCCTAAACCGTGCAAAGGAACTCAACCACTCGAACAACTGGAAACGGGAAACATCCAACGAAACAACAGCATACAGTGTAGGACATCCTGTTTTTCATCCGTTTTATACACCACTTGGCTACTCAGTCCCATGAAATTATCGCCATTTCCATAGAATAAAAATATATACATGAACACCCTTCCGTTCAGTGTCCTTCAGAATGACACTCAGTTCACTGCCATAAATAAGCAAAGAACGACTAGAGATCGAGTGAACTTACTGAATGAAAGGTCTGTTGGTTGAACAACCGGACACCACCTCAGCCCTCGCGTGATATGACATCTAGGTTTTGAAAAAAAACTCCTACAGCTGAACGAGGAGCAAACGAAGTGCTTTTCAAGACACATGATATCCACTTTACTCGCGGCCGCAATTTTTCATTGTCGTAAGGAACGAAGCCTGTGCATCACAAAAAGCAGACGACCGTGGCCAGTCGTGAATATGTACTTCCACCAACAGAAGCAGCTATCGATTAACCCAGGCTGTTTATTCAGCCCTAACACCCTTTCGTTACCCAGCTACGATGCCACCAAATGAAACACGAGAGTTGAGATACTGTCAGGTTGCCCTAGACCAGACAGGAGCAGTCGGGATGCCTTGATTGGATTCGAAATGTGGACATTCCGGGCAGTAAGTTCATCCCTTGACCACTGAACTATCTTAAGCACCACGGCTTCACAGGCCTAATTTATTTGCCAATAGTCAAAGATAATTCAACATTCCGGTATTTGGCCACCAATGTCAACTTCGTAGAACTAGCGACCACGACTAAATGGAAGCGTTTTTTTATCCTACCCATTTCTATCGATTTGCAACATGTTAGTACTCAAGCAAAGCGAGATGCACAAACTGAACGAGCCAGCTTCTATTACGACCCACCTTCCTAGTGAAATCAGTGCACCATCCGTTTCGCCGCGTACGCTGAAATGGGTCTGCAGTACTCGCAGTGGCCTTGGTTAGATACTGTCGGCTAGTAGTCCGATACGGCCCTGGCGTAATTCTCCCATGTTTGAATGCTAAGCCGCTGTTTCCACTCGGAGTCGTCACCAAATCAATGAATGAGCAACCCAATCCCCAAAGCCCTTTGATTACATTGGGATATCTGAAAACTGCCAGCCCGAAGCACAGCTAAGCTGGTATGCTGCAAAAAGGAGTGGAACCTATCCAAGGATAATGGTTTCCGTTAAACCTACGGGATGTCGACAAAGGCCGAGGATACGATGACCTGAACTAGCCAACCGCAGAACCGTTCCGAACTTTTCATAGTCTTGCCAATCAAGGAGGAAGCCATGCAGAAGCGATGCTAGATTCACATGACTAGAAACTGACGCTTAAAAACATAATAAACGAGAGATCCAGCTAAGTTACAGGTGAATCTCCCGCAAAACCAAATCGGTTTGCAAATGAGTGCATTTCGCTAATTTCGTACAACTTGGGTTCAGGTAGAACGTAAGGTTGACGGAAACTCGTGGACTGCGCCTATCTGATGAGCCCCTAGAATGGCGGAATCCGTCGTGGGCTGTCGAAACGTCTTCAGTAATGCATTACGTCTGTACGTGAGAACTTCGAAACCAGCATCGCTGGATCAGACCCACGTTCGCTCCATCTAGGATGTTTATAAAAAAAACAGCTCAGAATACCATTGAGTGGGCTAAGCTGACATTAGCATAAATTCAGACGGGAGTTCTAGATCGTAATGCACCTAGTTCGGCGTTTAGCTGTTGTTCCCGAACAGTACTGTGGGCTTTGGAACAGACTGCGTTGTTGCATCGTTATGGGAGGTGGTTGAGGCGGAGGATAACCCAGGACACCTTGGGATATACCAGAGGATGGACTGAAAACGAAAGGCCGGAATGATCAAGTGCCCTTTGTGGCATCGACCAATCTAGCCAGTGGACGAATCCAGATAGGTCATGCCACGCGAGCTGAGCCTCCGTTCCCAAACATCGTTGCTCTGTCGCATTCAGACTACTTTTTCTAGTACCACCGAATATAACGGACTCTTGCAGACAATGCAACAATCTACGCCCCTAATCCTGTCCCCTAGCATGAGTGGTGACCACATGTATGCGATCAACAATCCGCTTCTTCATTCGAGATTCGGAATTCGTCATACAACCCTTCCCAATTCTGCCTTCACTTCTCCATCTATCAACCATCTGCTCACCATCGATTCTAACCATACCGCTGACATCCATGTCCATCCGTTTCGAACAATACGTGCAAAATACAGAACCAGAAAACCCTACTTTCGGCTTCACCCGCGCGAACATTTGCGGCCTTCAGACACGCCCGATTATAGAATACAGCCGAGTCTGAGTGTGGAATCGCCCGTCTATGGACCACCATTACATAAAACTGGACTAGATTTACTCTGAGCTTATCATGATCCAATTAGAAAGCGAACGCGCTCTGGAACTGAAGTTTCTAATGGATTGGAAACCCAATCAGATCACCTTACCTAAATTCTCAAGCTGGTCGAGGCGTGGACTTACACAACGCACAGATATCTGGGGTCAGAAATAACAGCGAACAACACCGAGATTCCTCAGAGCTATCGCTCTACCCCCCCCCCCCCNCCCCCCCCCCGATATACTACAGAGAAAAACAACAAAGAGGCGTGGTCTGATAGTTTATTCAACTAATTTTGTGTTCGGAGCAGGTCGGAAGATAAGTGGCAGCAGACACAATTACATCTCAGAGCCAAGGACCGTGCGACGTTCTGGGGAAAATTGGACCACGCTCTTCTACAGTCTTCGTACGAACACCAATCATCATCATAGACCAATGGTTTCCACAATAAAAATCCTCTCCTCAACAACACAGCTGAATGAGTCTGGAGGGGTGGGGAGCCGGCAGTCAGTTTTTTCTGGTTTTTTTCATTAGAAAAATGGAAGATCTAGAATTTTTTGTTTGTTTTTATAGAAAAACCTAATTGAAGTTTCGGTCCACATGAAGCAGAAGCCCCTTGCGTCTTCGCGCACCACTGACGCAACAGAGATAGTAGTAAAATCAGCGGGAAAGTAAAGACTTACTCACACAATGAGAAACATCGTGGATGAAGTCCGAAACTGGTGTGTGTAGCCTAGACAGATCAATGGATTGGGGTGAAGCTGAAAAGAGGAGCACGCCGAGAAGGAAGAGATGGCGGCCAGAGCAACAGCAGAATCCACTGAAAAACTGTTACATAAGGCGCTTGGTTCGCTCATGGAAAAAGAAGGGCAGTCGTGGCAGACGAAACGAGTTGGGAGAGCACCAATCGAGGTAGCAGCACTAGGATAGGGGGGCGTTTAAATAATGACTAGCTGAGACGACCTACAGAAGGACAAAAAGATGAAATAAGTTCTAGCAAGCGTGATAATAGTAATAATAATAATAGTACTGATAAGAAGTGGATGAACCGCCGGAATAGATGAGAAAATAGGATGATTACGCATATAAGACGATAAGGATGGGGTCGACCGGAGGTAAAAGTATGTGTGAAGTTCCAAATCTCCGTGTGGGTGATGTGCACCACGTTTTGCATGATTGGAAGAAACAGGAGGCAGGAACAATACAGATAAGAACGAAGTAGAACGTGGCTATCTCGGCACAAGTGAGCCATTGAGGCAAGAAGTTGCTGACCCAAGCCAAAAGCAGAGTATGATTGACAAGATCACGGGAATGTATCACAGAACCTCCATCCATCCATCCATCGAGTCCTCGAACGACGATGACCGCGACGCGTAAATGAGGCAGTCTGAAAAGATCAACATTTACCATCCGGTGATTGTTGACATCCTACAACAGGGCGACGGTTGCAAAACGTTGGCCGAAAAAATACAACAATGTGGAGAGGAAGTAAGTGGGATCTGTTGATTTTCAATGCAGGCAAAAATGGGTGAATCTTTTTGGAAGTTTCAGTCAAAACTTTGGGATTTTTTTTGACCAAATTCTGAAGTATCGGTGTTTGTGTGAATGCGCGGAATGACGATCACTAGCAGCAGTTCGCCAACTGAAAAGTATTCACACATGCTCCCACAGTTGCAGGAGTGGTGCGTAGTGGTGCTGTAGCAGAAGCGGTCACAGTCAACAGTTCATTCAGCTCGCTATCAGGGCAGAATTGAATCCAAACGTTGCCGGAAGGGTCAAGATGAGGGCGAGGCTGTTTGATCTGCACACGAACAACCGAGAATGAAAGCGTGAATGAGGCAAAGGTATTGGTGGTAGAGAGGAGACAAAGTATGGAAAATATAGATCAGGTTTTGGATGACGCGTCCTTAAAACGATTTGAATGAGAATATTGTCGACGACTAACCAGCGGATAGTGGGCCGGACCGATCGCTTGGTCGGTCAGCGTGCTGGACGAATTGGTGAGTGCATCGCTAGTATTGCTGCTACAAGCTGAGTTCATTTCACCTATACCGGAACTCGCGGAATCCTCAGAATCATCTGCAGAATTGAAATGAGCCGGCTTTTCATCCGTGACAGAGGCCAGAGGAACAGCGATATTAGGTGTACCAGATGCTTGCTCGGAGAGACAGACAGCGTTTGCACTATCAGTAACCGATTTGACATTTTGCTGGGAATAAACACAAGCACCGGGTGATTCCAAAGATATTACCGTCGTGTTGCATGACTCCAGAGACACAGAGGTTACCGTATTACTGACTTGGTGTTCGGTCGATTCCGAAGGGGTCAACGACTGAGGCTCCACCTCCCCAACAGTAGAGTGAATGTTAGCTTTTGCGTCGAGGTGGGAGGTGGGAAACTTCGCAGACAGCGGGACTGTGGCCATAACGGAAGGACTTGGGGTGGATGTAGCACTAGAACCGATGGGACCAGAACTATTGATTGTGGAGCTAGGACGAGTAGGACGTTGAATATATAGATTAGCTGCGGCAGCCGTCAGCCCAGACACAGCATTAGAATTGTGAACGGAAGGGCTCGTGTGATGGACTTGCATATGTTGTGGTAAAAGGAAGGGATATGAGATGTTACATGGAACTTGAGTAGCATTGGTAATTGATTGGAAAGTTGATCCCACGTCTGTAACACCAGCGCTTCCCTTACCCAAATGACTAGACACATCAGTGGGATGCTGTTGGATTGAAGTATGCAAAAGAGCACCATGTGGAGATGAATAAGCGTATGCGGCTTGCAGCGGATAAACTGGAGTTTGAGACAAACGTGGAGCTGTTGGGTGACGTGAGAGTTGAGCCGGCAAATGGAACGGTTGGGTTGTGTAGTAGAAAGGAAAAGCTGTTTGACCAGGAGAGGGAATCGCGTGTTGAGCATGCATGCTGGGAGGGACGGCGGGATGCACGTAGGCAGCTTGTTGCTGTTGTTGTTGTAGTGCAGTCATATATGCAGCAGCCCACGCCGCTTGGCTCTGAGTTGCATTCAAAGTGGCTAATGGGTTAGGATGACCAGTGAAAACGGCATTAGCGAATGGTGGTGAGGCGACCTGGGTTGCTTGTTGGCCACCGGATACAGAGGTCATTGCAAAGTTCATCGTAGGACCCGCAGCATACACGGCAGGAGCATTGTGACTGCCTTGATTCAGCAAGTATTGCGGGAGACACGATGCTGGCCGAATGGGCAATGCGTGGACGGGCACACCTTCGGTCGAGTGTAAACTTCCACCCTGTATTGGAGAGGCATAGTTCGAACCATTGGGAAGGCTATTTTGATATCCACCAATGGGGACTGGTGGACCCACGCTGATAGAATGCTGTGATCCCGCAGTCAGAGTATAACCGTTAGAGCAGATCAATGCACCAGCATGTTGCGGTGGCCAGCTCGCACCGGGAGAGCGGTCGAATGAGAGAGCAGCGTTCGCGGGTCCCGTGGTCATGCGTGTCGCCTGAGAGGTGAAAGTGTTTGCAGACGCAGTGGTGAGCTGCCCAATGACAGTACTAGTGGAAGTGAGAGGACTGGCAAAACTAGGCTGATTGGATATAGCGGTGGGGGTTGAGCTCCCGATTTCTCTGATGTTGGTAGATGTAGGGGACTGATCGACTGTGGGCTCGTTGCTACCGAGATCGGTCACTGAAGCATTTGACGTGACAAGGATACCCTCCTCAGCTTCATTTGGTGAAAAGGTTGGTGGCACGTGAGGCGGAATTGACCTGTTCGTCACTAATGCTGTCAAACTGTTGTCGGACGATGGGTATGGTACCCACGATTCCTCCGGAACTAACAAATAAAAAACAAACATTAAGGCAGCGCTAGGATAAAGGCTGATTAGAATTAGTCTCTCCAGATGGTACTCTATGGATAAAAAGGGGGAATATAACGTAACAGTAACATCAAAAAGCTGGTACATGCTACGATTAAAGCTCGTCATGAGCACGCGAAAGCAGAACAGACAGACGAATCCTACGGCCATCCAGTTCGTTTGGACGCACTGCTGTTTTTTTGATATTCTGGACAAGCCATAAACATGAACTTCAATCAAAATAAACTTTTTAGATGTTGTCAGTCAAACAGCCTTCAAGGGTGTACATCATTTTGGAGCCAAAAAATTGTTCAATTGTAACACCCTGCCGGTGGCTAACTGTCACGCTACCTGAAGGAAGCACGAGGGCTGGGATACTGTCGGGTGGCCCAAGCCTAGACAGCGGAAGTCGAGAAGTAGAGGTCGGGTTTGAACCACGGACCTTCCGGCTAGTAAATTCGCGCTCTAACCAGAGTCACCTTCGTCCGAATTAACCACTGACCATACTTTCTGATATGTTGATGATTTGAAAAGTACAAGGTAAACAGTGAGAAGCCAGACACTGCCCACCCACCCCCAACAAGTTATCTTGAAACCAAAGTCGTGACGCGCCGGTGATTACACTGCATTAAACACCATTTCAGTCATTCCACTTTTTAAACTACGAAATATAGTTGTCCAAATGTCGGGAGGCACGGTACAGTTTTTTATCCTTGTTGCAAATCACCAACGGTACGCGCTCCACAACTCTCGATCACCTCACCATGGTCGTCTTCAAATACTACTTGGGAGGACGCGGATTCGAATCTTCCTGGAGGTTCGTAAGATACGCCTTGCTGATTACTTCCCAATCAGAATGAAGCAACTATGCAGTACTTCACCGCCTTTCGAGGCAGTGATTTCACTTACGGGCCGAAATCCCGACTGGATGTAAAAATGTCTGCCAGGACCGCCACTCCAAAAGCTATCCGGTGTTCAAAAAGACAGCGAGCAGCTGCCAACGCACAGGGTAATTGTTATCAACGTCCTCAACAGCGTAACATCAGTGTTCAACACTAATGCTTCGCTGCCGTAAAATTATGGTTGTACGAGGACTGGGATACTGCCAAAGCACCCAAACCTAGACGGGAGGACGATTAAGGTCCTTGAACAAGGTCTATGCCTGAAAAACTTGACTCAAAGTCAGCGGTATTTGACGAGAAATTCAAGCACGATTTCATTTCCACAGACCAATTGTCACACATGTTCCAACCCCCAACTAGGAGGGGCAGTAGACTGTGTTGGTCTAACCTCTAATCAATGACAAGCCTGGTATGAGAAACTGTCGCACAGGCACAACCCAGCACAGCTCACTGGGTCGCGGAGGCACACAAACCATCGCGCCACAGTAAGATCCAGGCTCATCGAGCCCAATGTAAGCGATTCGGTCCAATCGAAAGCATCTCTGTGTACCTTCTAGTTCTTTCAGTTGCATAATATAATCACTTTAGTTTCCGGACAACGCGCGGTAGCCAGGTTTTGAACCTCGGACACTGAGACTAGTAACTGTGTCCACAGGAAAACATCCCATGCATTTGCTTGGGCTGTTCAGGTGCGTCGCTTTCAGACCCAGTAACTAAACAGGCGAACCCACTGTTTTCTTCAAGTAGACTGGTGGCTCCAGATGTCAGATCACAAGTAGCTCAGCCTTTTATGGTTGGCAACAAACTGATCTGCTTTGGTCTATACGACGATAACCACAGAAAGCCCCATAGCAAACATCAGATTGTCCAGTGTGCTGAGGAACGCATAGACACAGTGGGCACCGGCCCCGAAATACAAATACCAACGCTTTGGGAAAATTCTCAGGCAGTTGAGAAATGGTAGTGGTGAGACTGTTGGAACTTACATCGATCAATCCGACGAACTCCACGCAGGCCACCTCCCATATCTTCTAGACAAACCACTTTGCTGTTGATCAACGCCTGTTCCACCTCATCCACGGTTGTTTTCAAAGCGAGAAGGCGTGGGGCTTGTATGAGCTTGTCCAGTGGGAGTGTGAGCCGGTTGACAAGCATTCGGAGGAAAGTGGAATCCCGGATGAGATTTTCACGCGAAAAATAGTGATGCCTATTGACAAGTGGGAGAGAACGGTTCGCATAACAGTGGAGCACCGAATTAGCTGGATGCACCCATCATTGACAGCAGTAGACTAGTAATAGAAGTACTAAGAACTGAAAGGTCAATTACTCCATTCCAATTTGGTAACATGTACACAAACTTGACGCCATGGAACCCAGTTATGAGCAGACCATAATATGAGTTGGAGTTACTGCCCCATATAAAGCGAGTGCTATTTAGACAAACCTCACACAAAACGCAGTTCAGTATGTATCCTCTCGACAGAACGCTACTCATAAGATTGTTGAAAACTCTTCGACACACCACTGCCGGTTTTGCTCTATTTGCAACCCATAGGGTAGTCGCAGCCCCCAAGTATTCACTAGTCTTATTTCTATTTGAGCCCAAACTGTAGGCGATTAGCGAAATGCACTCATTCGCACACTAATTTGGGCTCAAAGGAGACTCAACTGAATCGCCGCTGACAGTCGAACTCCCTGCTAATACCAACCTAGCTTGAAAATGAGTGCATCCCGCTACTTGATACGACCCAACACACGTAAGCTCATCCGGATTAAGTCATCAAAGTATTTGCTGTCACTTCGACGCAGCTAACCAGGAAGTTACCCATGTGTTTTGAGTGTATAATAGTACCTTAGGTAGCAACTCACGTAAAATAAAGGATGTAACTGGCTTTTGATGGAAAAAGGAGATATTCGCCCCTTGCAGCTGTCTTTGGAGCGAAAGCCTCGCCACTGGGAAGCAGGCCCACTTCGACTCGTGTGGAAGCTTTTGTTTCTGGTAACATTTTTTCCAAGTCCTCGTAGCTAACGACACGGTAATCCCGGTCAACTGATTCGTTTGGCACTTGAGCTGAGGGTTGAGGGGGAGGGTGAAGGAGAGGAGCTGTAGCGGGCAAATGACCCACTACGGATGCCCACGGATTCTGCTGACGACCGTCAAAGAAACCAACAGGTGATTGAACCGGGCGGGGAAATGGTACGTTCGGACGGAACTGAGTAATTAAGAATCCGGGCTGAGGCACGATCAGCGGTTGTGTATGGTCCTGCGCCATTGCTGCAAACAGAACATAAAGCAAACCGGTTTTAATGAACGAAATCAAATGAGCGCATACAATCTAGCGTCAAAGAAAACAGAAATTCCACAAGAACACGACGGTGACATAAGACAACCCGGTTCAGATCGAAATCTTCGTCAACTCCACGTGGCATCCCCCATGATGTGTACATTCAAGATAACGGCTTGCAACGTATAAAGACTACACTGGGTATCAGGTGATCTAGATTCTCTATTAGACTGACAGAACATCAAGAATGAGATATTCATCTGAATATCGGTTGAATCTCACAGTTGCGGTCTTCAGATAAGTGATTTATTCGTCAGTGACTTTTTGAATATAGGAGACCAAACGAAGCACTCAACAGAATGTATCAATGTCCGAGAGTCGCACATAGCATACTTGTCCAGTTACCGTTGTCATGTTAACCGAAAGACTCTCAACTCCCGAATGTGTCACAGCGGATACAAAGCGTCAGTGCTCTTTACAATACGGTACTGTCCTAGTACAGTACACCTACTGAAGGTACCCTTTAGGCTGTCGATTACTCCGAGTTAGGGTGATAACGTTTTCGATAGAAAAAGCTCCTCGCCCGAAGGTAGAATCTAGTAACGGGAGTCGTCAATGCGCGTTCGCTCAATCCAAGACAGAATGCATGATTTTTGTTCGCCAGCTAGCACCGATCAAAAAGAACTGTTAGCATATGGAGTTAAACACGTTGAAAACGAGCTCCGATATTCAATAATGGCAACTTCGTTGATACACGCATATTCCCACACACAATATTATTGTCAGTGTGTTGTGACTTACTGAACGGTAGTGCAACTCTTTATCGGTACCTTGGTTTCCTGCTCCGCCCACCACGGTAGATCAGAAGGCACGGTAGCACCACACAGCCCTTTATGGACAAAGGAAGATTGTTACAACTGTATTTATAGGGTAGTCACAGAGCACAAGGTCGTGCCAGAATCTCCGTGGGGGGGGGGCGAGAGGCGTCCAGTCAAAGGTGCCTGACTCGGATTGGCTGGCATTCTGACCAATCACGGCATGCCTTCGTTTGACCCGTGTCCTGCACGTCCGTCCAAATGATGTGGTGTTCGGTTATTAGGGACGGCTGGCCTCCGTACACAGTAGTGCAACATGAGACGACGAGAAGGATGAAAAAACTGTCATTAAACAAATGCTAGGAGAAAAATGCACACGTACGGTACTGCCTGCCGTTCCCTCACATGGGCGTGAATCAGGACCCGGTCATAGGCAAGACAGATTTTTGGATGCAAGTCTGACTTCACACCTCAATACTTTTTCTCCTGACTGCACGACTGAAGCTCGCCAAGGTGGACATCGAAAGTTGACTCAACAGTGGAACGTTGCTGTGTGCTGATTGCTGCCGCAATAAGCAGTTTGCTGCACTTCGCCGCACCGACATGTGGGCGGACCCCGTCGACACTCACATTGTTTACATCATACATGCATAATGCTCCGTAGATACCGATACTCAGAAATTGTTGGGTGTCAGTTAATTTGGGCGTCAAAAAACCGTCTCACAGATGCATTGCGGGACTGCACTTGAAAAGACGTCATACGAATGGCATCTCGGTTTGATGCTCATATCCTTTAGACACCAACAATGATGCAGGCTTACGAAAGCACTAAGGACTTCCCTTATCTGTTTTGTGACCTCACTTATGCCAGCAGAGCCAAAGCGGCCTCAAGAGCAATAACCTCCGCTGTTTAGAGTGCATCGCCTTTAACAGCGTGTGGTATAGCTAGTATCAGTCCTTCATCACGGATTATCTGGAGAAGTAAGGACGAGTGATTACAAATAGCAGACCCTTAGACCCCGACAAAACTAGGCATGCGTCTTCCAGGACCAAAAGCTTTATAGGCTCTGAATAAAATTTTGGTTATTTCAACCAATAACGGCGGTCTACCACCGACTATTGTGTTCGTTTCCCGATTCGAGGAGCAACATCAGCTCCGGCCAGTCCGCCGGAAATTATAAACCTATCATGTTAAGAAATTTACCTACCGCATCGATTGGCTGATCTGGAAGAATGAGGCCTCAATTCCATCCAGTCTTGTAGCAGGGACTCATGTTTGTATGGCAGTTGCTGTCAATGATGACGTTGTTGTAGCAACCCGAGAATGCTCGGTGGCCTGGAGGTTCGTGATTCGAACACAAAGCTGGCAACTAGACTGCTCCCGTCTAGGCCTGGGCAACCAAGTAGTGTCTCAACACTTGTTCTTCGTTCGGATAGCATGGCAGCTGGGCAATACTCTTTCGGTATTGCAGCCGGACGAGTATTTTTGTTATCGGCATTTTAGCAGCAGTTTACATTTCGCAGATGCGAAAGCGCACGCCACGCCGCGCGGCACAATGAGTAGAGTATTCCACGAGGAAAGCAATCCTGTCTGTGTACTCAATGTCTACGAGCGAAACCCTAAGATCACCTTGGTCCTCGACGTTTCGGAGACAGGAAAATTTTTAAGTGGGATGTCCAAATTGGACGTCTCAATGGAAGCTTGTCGACAACCATCACACTAGGTTTCGAGAACTCCATGCCAGTCACCGGGAGCACCGCAGGGGCGAGATACCTGTGGTCAGAGAGCGAATTTACTGGCCGAAAGGTTTGGAGTTCGAACACAAAATCTGCATCTCGACTTCCTATCTAGGCTTGAGTAGCCTGGCAGTGTCCTAGCCCTCGTGTTTCCTTCAGGTGACACAGCAGCTAGGCACCGAAAAGGAGTGACAGCTGAACGATTATCCTTTTATTATTTGTATTGTTAATATTCAACACATTCCGCTCGGTCCTTGCTCCACACGACCACTAATTCGGCACCTCATGAGCAGATGTTTACCCACGAACGATAATCCACTTATGAAAGGTCTGTCTAAATGGTTAACTACTCCAGGTGCTGTCCTGGTTAAGCCGTTCCTCTGTAGAGGAGACAGAACTAATCAAGTGCTTTAGAGGACAAAAGCAGCAAACGGTTTCTATTCGCCGCCTGGCGCCCATCGCAGAAAACACAGGATGCATGTACTGGAAAGGTACCTACTCTGTTTGGAACTCCTATGCTTCAAAACACAAGTGACAACCCAATCCATACATATCGAAATCCTGTAAGCTCCAACACAAAGAAAGTGACTTCCAAAATAATGCTCAGAACCTTCTACACTAACAACAAAGCATATCCTTTTGCAGTTTAGAATCACTAAGCGTAACCAGTCCTAACACAACATATTCCAACACTTCACAACTGACTTTCATATGCACCGGCTACGTTTTAGCCATCGCTGAGGGCATCAGATGTTGTTCAGGCCATAAAATCAAAAGAAAATTCAAAGTACTCGAGTAGTGGGGCATTATGAAACTCGGCACAATAATTGGGAAGGGCAAACGAGGGTACATGCAGCATATTCAAATTTTGGAGGGAGTTCGACGTAGCAAGTGGCGGTTGAATGCCAGGCGTGAATACTTGGTGAACGCGACCACGACCTGAACTAAAACACTTTCAAATTCGGTATCATAGGACGCTGAGCTACAGTGCGGGAGACGACGATGGTAATAACAATAATAACATAGATCAGCTGCGGCATCCTTCGGTCCATTACCACCGTGCAACTCTCAGCGAAACAAGATCGCTACGGCTTTGCACAATGAAGGGAACTCCGCCAGTGATACAAGGCTAGCACCCTCAAGTGCTGAACATGATATACAACAGTGAAAACGCCTGGAATCCCAGAGAACTATGTCCGCCAATCATGTACATAATTCAGCAAAACGAATCACTAAACGTTGACTGAAGCCCAGCCTGTCCACCGACCGTGAAGACTGGTGCACGCGGAAGGCCAAGGAAGCGGAGGAAACGAAGAGTGCCGGGAATACCCAAAATTACTCCCACTGATCCGCACTGCCGACCCCCAGAAACCGGCGGCGAGTGAAACTTCCACCAAGTGGTATTCAACGTCAGGCCGAGGATTTTGAAGAACTCTCGTGGACACTTTGTACTACTCAGTAGAAGTGCCGAACTACACTTAAACCTTGAATAGTGAACTGGAATATCCTGCGGACTCGGTTAAGACAGAATATGTTCTCCAAAACACAACCGAGTTCCCGATCAGGGCGACATTCCATCGCCTTTATCTGAAGATTGGAGTAAAGTCCTCAGTTCATAGCAAACAATAAATTGTCCAGTTATAATAATCTTTCGGTGCCTGCCTGCTTTGCCACCCGAAAGAATCATGAGTGCAGAAATAGTGCCAGGTTGCCCAAGCACAAGATCAGTCGAGATTCTGCAGTTGGGTTCGAGCCTCGGACATTGAGGCAAGTAATTTCGCACCTTAACTTAGTTACGCAGGCTAGCGCTTGTCTAATCTATATAACGTTCATTTTCGAAAAGAATGCGAGAGCAATCCGGAGAGGATCTGCGACAGTTTGTTCTCCGAAAAATGGGACCACAAAAATTGTGGTAAGCACAAGAGGGTCAGCTTGAATCGTCGCAACGGGGTTTCTGAAGTCGTCACCTTATGGTGGCCCAAAGATCATTCACGTGAGAGTAGCGAGGTCTATGGCTCGGTAGGAGTTGCGCTGATCAGATTAACACTACCAGCTGCTAGAACAACACATGTATAAATGATTCATGTATTATCATGTATTATCAGGGCGCGTTTCATTCGCTTGGCCAGCTAGTTCTCCTTATTATACTTGACCAGCAAGGTATTTGTCGAAAAGGTTTGTCAATGTACTTTGTATTCTCATTTCCTGGCGCGTAAGAATATGCGGGGAGCCTACCAAAAGCTTTCGTACATAAGGTGGTGCCGACAAAGATGCCCACACTGCATTCGGATTTGACGTCCTGGTCCTCAAAATCCAGGCTTAAGCACCGCTGAAGAGAAACCTTTCGATTTAGAATACGCACACGACACTGTGCTTGGTTTGGATTAACAACTGAAGGCACGGAAGCTTTTGGATAAAGTGACCAATCATTCCTTCCTTAGA